GATTTACAAGCCGGCTGCAGGCTGCCAAACAGTTTGGCCTCGTTTCATTTTCTTGTCTCAGTTTCCCTATTTCTCCCGCCTTGGAATTTTTCTAGCTTCTCGCTATCTGCTGGGGTCCAACCCCAGCAGGTCCAGGGGTCCCCAAAGGTGTGGACGGAGTCGGCGAAGAAGGAATATGACACGGAGACAGCGTTTAGTTGATCAGCAGCCTAGCCAGGATCTCTAGCCAGGATCTCCAGCCAGGTTCTGTGTCCATGTTCTCTTGCTAGGTTCTCCAGCCAGGTTCTCCAGGTTCTCCAGCCAGGTTCAGTCACCAGGTTCTAGTCAGGTTCTCTTGCCATGTTCTATCCAGGTTCTGTAGCCAGGTTTTGTCTCTAGGTTCTTCAGCCAGGTTCTCTCACTAGGTTCTGTCTCTAGGTTCTGTGGCCAGTTTCTGTCCAGGATCTTTTGCCATGTTCTCTCCAGCGAAGTTCTTCTGTCTCTAGGTTCTGTGTAGGTTCTGTGTCTAGGTTCTGTGTCCTGTTGTCTTGTTACATCTGTATTTATGCCAGTTGATTCCAATCCTATCACTCTCTATTCCAAAGGTTAGGGCGTTTCTTATCTCCATTCCAGGGAGTAAAGATTATGTAGCTTAAGCATGATTGTTCGTAGTTAAAGTGATTAATTACCCGCCTGGCACTTAGTTAAGGGGTTTTATTCCCTTCCTAACTTCAGGGGAAAATCCCTACCTGGGGAAACAACCTTTCTCAGAGAGGTGACCTTGGTTAAAACACATAGTGCCAAGAAGGTGAGCAAACATATTAAGAACAGTATGCCATTAATGCCAGGTTCCTTGAAACAGCAAGGATGGACCGGCTCCCGGCAGCTATCCTAAAATAGAATATGAAAAACATTCTGGAGTTGGATGGTGGCAATGGTTTTACAACAATGTGAATGCACTTAGCACCACTGAACTGTTCAGCTAAACCTGGATAGGAGGGCAGACTTTATGCTCTGTATATTTTACACCAAATATTAAAATTAACCTTCCCACACAGCTAGCTTTCAAGTCGGACTTATTCTACTCTTCAATTCATCCTATACTTGCCTGAAACTCAAACTCCTAATGGATTTCTATAACCTTACAAAAAGTAATAGGTTGTCCTCAAAACCAAGATCCAAATGTACTTACCTGCTCTGGATTCCCGTGGGGTCACTTTTTAGATTATAGAAAATGGCATCTATAACCAGTCCCAGGATAACTATTATGATTACCTTTTTAAAAAGAAAGAAGAGTTTCAATTAAAGGTAAAAACTTAACACACCATTTATTATTATAATATATATGGCTACATAAGCAAACCACAGCATTGAGATAGATATTTTAAATGATTGGACCAAAGTTCTTGGGAAAATATAAAACAGTATGCTATTAGACTGCCTTCTAAATTAAAATACAAATAATTTGCCCTAGCCGATGCTGCTCAGTGGTTAGAATGTTGGCCCACGGCCTGAAGGGTTGCGGCTTCAGTCCCTGTCAAGGGTCAGTATCTTGGCTACAGGCTTGATCCCTGCCATAGTCATGGTTTGATTCCCAGTTAGGGCACAGCCTGGGTTGTGAGCTCCATGCAGGAGGCAGCCATTCAATAATTCTCTCTCATCATTAATGTTTCTATCTCTCTCTCCCTCTCCCTTCCTCTCTGAAATCAATAAAAATATATTTTTTTAAAAAAAAAAGAAAAGGGAAACAAAGAGCCAAACTTAACTTTTCACAACTGAGCAAGGAGACCCTGTCAATGTATCTGTGTATCTGGTCTGTGGTTATATGTTTGCCAATATTTCTCAAGGTGAGTTTCTGAGGGATGTTTATGAACATTACTAAAAAAAATAATCCATATCAAATGTTTAATATGCTAATAGAAACAACGAATCTCTAAGAGAGGATCAGAAAACCCATAGCATGTTAAATGAGCACTAATTCTTCTTATACAGAGAATCTATTCAGTCTAAGACCTTCCAAATACAGCCTCTGGTTAACTGCATTATCAGAGGCAAAGTCTGACTCATGTAAATGACTAGTTGAAACCTAAGTACAGCTCTAAGACTGTAGATACAAGATTTATCAGCAGGAGGCCATAAAACATTTTTATAGCTACACATTCCAACATTTAGAGAAGCAACTGACATACAAGCAAGTTTAAAATTCCAAAACCAGTGGTCAGAAAGCTATGGCCCACAGGCCAAACAGGGCCCTTCACCTATTTCTTCAGTCCATGAGATAAGAATGATTTCTTTACCATTATTTTAATGATTGAAAAAAAAGAAAACAAGAAAAATGTATATGATTTTCCCAAAATGGAGGACCCAAGGCAAGATGGAGGGCGCACGTGGCTCTGTCCCAAGATGGAGGCCCCAAGGCAAGATGGAGGGCGCAGTCCTTGTCCGGTTCCTGCTGCTGCCGCTCGAACTCACCACAAGGCAGGATGGCCCTCCCGCACAGCCCCCGCAGCTGGCCTGCGGGCAGACTGGGACTCTAGCGCGTCTGGGCAGCACAGGCCCAGCAAACGGGGTGCGGCCGGTGGAGCGGCCCAGCTCTGGAGGAGCAGCATCCGCTCCGAGCAGGCCCGGCCATGGGGCCGGTGCACCGCCGCATGGCGGCCTCCCCGAGCTAGGGCACGCGCCCCACTCCGCTGCCGCCGCTGCTGCACTGGGCCCGGTCCGGGGGGCAGCGGGCGGGTGGCAGCCCACGCCGGGCTCCCGCCGTGGGCTGGGGAGCCAATGCCCCCCCCATGGGGCCCAGCGGCTGGCCCACGCAGGCCCCGGCCCCCCCGACCGGGCCCCAAGGGCCGAAAATACTGATTATTTGAAATGCACATGAAATTCTAATTTCAGTGTCCATGAATAGTTTAATTGGAGCACAGCCATGCTATTGTGGCTGCTTTCGCCCTGAAATGACAGCTCCATTATAGTGTCTCTGTTGGCCAACGTTGACCTGTTTCCAAAAGACATCAAATCTCCTCTAAAAGAATAGAAATTTACCCTTGGTTGATAGTACACAAAAGTGCTCATTTCTGACAAAAGTGCCAAATAACAAAAATGTCTGGAGCCATTAGCAGTACTTCTCAAAGAGGGATCGAGGCCCTTTGTATTAATAATCAGAGGGCAACAGTACTGAAGTAGGAAATTATGGTGCATGTGGGAAGAAGTCAGGTTCATCAGAGCCAACTATGCAGTCAGCAGAAATTCAATGATCAATAATAAAATTAACAACCTCAAAAATAACTGACTAATACCCTTAGAAATGATGGACCAATGAAAAGGAAATACTAGAGTGTTTTATGACAGTGAGCTTGAGAATAACAGGAAAACCATACAGGAGCAATGATCAACCACTATCAACAGCGTCAGCCCAAAAATGAAAAGAACATTATTTCATCTTTTTTTGTTGTTGTTAGTCCTCACCCAAAGATATTTTTTCATTGATTTTTTAGAGAGAGTGGAAGAGAGAGGAAAAGACAGCGAGGAACATCAATTTGAGAGAAACATATCTATTGGTTATCTCCTGCCCATGCCAGACCAAGGGTACGTGCCCTTGGCTGGAATCAAACCCGGGACCCTTTAGTCTGCAGGCCGACACTGAGCCAAACTGGCTAGGGCAACATTATTTCATCTTTTTTTAAAAATAAAATCTTTCTTGTTGAAAGTATTGCATAGGTCCTCCTTTTCCCCCCAATTAACTTCTTCCAGCCTGTTCCCATCCTTTCCCTGCCCAGGTCCTCACCACTCCATTGTCTGTGTCCATGGGTTATGCATATATGCATACAAATTTGAAGATAAAATTAGTCTGACAGTGAATAGCTTTATTTAACGGAAGTCAAGTTTGCTTACTACCTTTGTGTTCTTGGAAAACTGATTCCGGGGGCTAGTGTTCTCCTAGACTAGAATCCCTAAATGCAGGTCAATGACAAGGAGCAGCGTTTGCACACAGGCTCTCCTCTCAGACACCGGCGGCCCCTCCCACACTCAATGAAGGCTTCCCTGATCACCTGATTTAAAATACAAACCAAGCTCTCTCCCCTCTCTCTCCTTCCCCTTCTCCTTTCCTTCTCTTCCTTTCTCCACTTACCTGCTTAGACTTCCTCCATGGCCCACTCTTCCCTCTGCCACGCTATATATTTTATTTCTGTATGAGTTTAACAGCTGTCTCTCCTCAAAAGAAAGTATGCTCCAGGAGCGCAGGGATTTTATTTTTACCCATTTTGCTCACTACTGTGTATAAGCTCCCAAATGCTGCACATGATCGATAAAAACTTGTTGGATAAATCAGGAAATGAATGTGTGCAGCTACCAGGAAACCACAAATGTGGCCAAACAATTCCTTTACTTCACCATTTGCGGCAGGGGTGGCGGGGGGGTGGGGGGGGGGGTGGGGGGGGATCTATACAAAGATGATCTATTATAGATTGTCTAAGTCAGCAAAAGAAATTGAATTAGGTAGTCCAGAAAACTACTTTAAAATTTTTTTCTCTAAGTGAAAACTTAATTGTGTTTAATTTGTGCCACTGTCTGTTTCCATATCCCAAATGAAGTGAGGTGGAAGTGTGTGCAGAGGATAAGTATAATCTATAGTAAATCGTATCAGAATCTAATGCCCCCACATGAGCATTTCACAGCATAATTAGAAGAATCTGTCTAGGTTACCTGAGCTATGGAGGCCTGGGGATTACCCAGTAAGTGTTTGAAGGAGCGCTTGGAAACCTATCTGAGTTGATGACAGAAGGAGGTGGCATAGGTGATCTCCTTGAAGGCTGTGCTCTTCTTCTTCTGTTTCTGATCCCCAAGAGTTGATCTAACTCAACTTTTGTTTTGCTGAAGAAGGTGGAGTTGACTTAACACTCAGCTAGTTTTTCTATGAGTGGCTTATCTCTCTTGGAAGGCTCTTCAGTCTCCTTGGCTTGGAATAAAAGTGGACAGAGGGGTCTTCCAGTTCTCCCTCTGGAAGGACGGACGTTGGTGTTGGGGAGAATATAACTGCCATGTCTTCCGGTACTTTGCCAGAACCTCAGATGTGCGGCCTTCTGGCTAAGCCTCTGAGATTTCATATTGTTGGAGCCATAATTGTATCCCTGGGGGTTGCAGCTTCCTGTAAGTTTGGTGTAGCTGAACCAAGAAAGAAGGCATATGCAGATTTCTACAGAAATTATGATTCCATGAAAGATTTTGAGAAGATGAGGAAGGCTGGTATCTTTCAGAGTACAAAGTGATCTTGGAATGTAAAGAATTTCTTTGGGTTGAATTCCAAGGAAGTTTGTCACTGACCTGTGTTCCTGAACTATGAAACATGAATATTTGAGCTAAGGAATAGTTTCTCTTGATAAATAAACAATGAAAAAAAAAAAGTGGACAGAGGGAAACATTAACAAAATAACTGATTTAGCCCATTTTTCTGGAATCCGCTTCTTAAATTCTTCCCTAACACCTTAATTCTAAGTTTGACTATAAACAATTATTAGACCTGTCACTGCTTTACACATTAGAAAAATAAGTTAATGGCCTGACTTGCAGTATCCATACACTGGTAGATACAGCAAACTCACCCACCATTTCCTAGCTATAATATGTGTACCCTGATTCTTTTCAAATAAACTTCTTACCATAGGCAGTTGTAATTCTTAATAGAAAAACCTCTGCCTTTCTTTCCACTGTGTGCAAATGCATAAATTACGAAGTTTCTTATTTGAAGATACTATATAAAAATGAGCATTTTTAAAATGAAAAAACACTCAGAACTGACACTATCACATAAATGTGCTCTTATATATTAAAAATACGGCACTCACAGACAAAAAAAATATGTGTTGAGTGATGCTATAGATGAAATACTTATGCCTGCCTCCCTCCCCCATTCATATACTGAAACCCAATCCCCAATGTGATGGTGTTTGAAGGTGGGGCTTTTGAGGAGTGCTTAGGTCATGAAGGTGGAGCCCACATGAATGGGATTAGTGTCCTTATAAAAGAGGCTCCAAGAGGTCCCTCCCGCTTCTCTCTGTGAAGAGGCAATGAGAAGATGGTGGTCCACCTATGAACAAGGAAGAGGGACCTCAACAAACACCAAATTGCTGGTGCCTTGATCTTGGACTTCCCGATCTCTAGAACCATGAGAAATAAATGTCTGTTGTTTAAACCACCTGGCCTATGGTAGTCTTGTTACAGCAGCCTGAACTAACTATGGCAACTAGTATCAGATAGCAGCATCAGTAATATAAATTCACAAAGTCACATGTTAATAACATACCACACTGCTCAACTTCAGTCAATTCAAATGGATGATAATATGTGACTCTAGACAGATGCACATTCCTTCACTATCTTCGATCTCTCTGTTTAATACCACAGCAGAGGAGTCTCCATTAATGACATCCAGGAAGAAGTCGGCAGGGTTATTATAGGGCTCACAGTGGTGACCTACAGAAGAAGGGAACCTAGGTACACAAGCATGATGGTCTTAGGAAATAAAGACTCACTTTCAGGGGGTGAGGGAGATGAGGCTGGGAGAGATGGAATATAATGACTTCTCCCTCTCTTCTTTCTCTCTTCTGCCTTCACTACTTTACTCTTTCCTTTTATATATTCAGTCACACAAGATCTCAACAATTCTCTGTCTCCTGGCACAAAACCTGCTCCAAATCAACCTGGGTCTCCCAGATAGCTTTACTTATCGTAACTCTTGACCCCTGAAATATTCACCACCTAAAAGTATGTTCTGGCTCTTTTCAGTGCTTATTCAAGCAAAGCCAATTAAGGCATAGCAGGACTGTTTGGGAGAGTTCCAGGGTTCACCTGGTGTCTGCCAGAATGTGAATACCCACTCCATCTGCTAAATTCAGGTGTAAATCATCGTCTATTAGGCTGCTGTAAATCCAATACAGAGAACAAGTCCAGCATTCTCAAGAAGACGTTACTAGTATAGCACACCTGAATTCTTACCTTGACTTTTTGTGTAGTCAAGAAGACAAATGATTTGGGGGGAAGGGCAGTATTAGGCCTTTGCAAAAATGTTCAACTGACAAGATAACTGGCTATGAGGTCAATATATTTATTAAACTATTAGGAAAAAGCCCGGCTGGTGTGGGTCAGTGGTTGAGTGTGAACCTATGAACCAGGAGGTCACTGTTCGATTCCCATTCAGGGCACATGCCCAGGTTGCGAGCTCAATGCCGTTGCAGGGGTGTGCAGGAGGCAGCAGATCAATGGCTCTTTCTCATCATTGTTTCTATGCCTCTCTCCATCTCCCATCCTCTCTCAGAAATCTAAGTTCCTACCCATTGCCAGAACTTCAGGGTACTGCCAAACAGTAATGAACTATTAGGAATGTTTCTCTCTCTCCCCTCCCTTCCTCTCTTAAATCAATAAAAATATATATTTTAGAGAACCAAGATGGTGGCATAGGTTAACGCCGGAGTTTGCTGCCCTGAACAACTACTTCAAAAGTGAAACTAAAAAACGGAACAGACATCACCCAGAACCACAGGAACGCTGGCTGAGTGGAAGTCCTACAATTAGGAGGAAAGAGAAACGCATACGGATACTCAGAGGAGGCGCAGTGCTGAAGTCAAATTCTGAGGTGCGGAGTGCGCGGAGCGGGCTGGCGGCGGAGGGCGCGGTTGTTGTTTTCAATCGGGAGGGAGTCGCAGACTCTGAGCTCCAGATACAGGCGAGTCTTTAGGGACCCAGACTCAAACGGGAGAAGCGGGACTGTCTGGCTTCGGTCAGAGCGAGTGCAGCTTTCTCTCCGAGGTTTGCAGCGGGTGCTGGGACTCAGAGAGGCAGAGCCCCTGGGGACAGGACTGAGAGCCGCCATAACTGCTCTCTCCGGCCCACCCTATTGATCCTGTGCGACCCGCCCTGCCCAAGCCCTGCACAGAGGCATTTGCCGGATAGCCTCAGGCAAAGGCTAGATTAGCACCTCCCTAGAGGACAGAAGTTCTCTCACTGCAGACACAGCTGATCCTCATAGCCACTTGGCCTGGAGGTCAAACCCTCCATGGTATTAGCTACAACAATCAAGGTTTAACTATAAGACTGCGCACAAAGACCACTAGGGGGTGCACCAAGGAAGCATAACAAAATGCGGAGACAAAGAAACAGGACAAAATTGTCAATGGAAGATATAGAGTTCAGAACCACACTTTTAAGGTCTCTCAAGAACTGTTTAGAAGCCGCCGATAAACTTAATGAGATCTACAAGAAAACTAATGAGACCCTTGATGTTATATTGGGGAACCAACTAGAAATTAAGCATACACGGACTGAAATAACGAATATTATACAGACTCCCGACAGCAGACCAGAGGAGCGCAAGGATCAAGTCAATGATTTGAAATGCGAGGAAGCAAAAAACACCCAACTGGAAAAGCAAAATGAAAAAAGAATCCAAAAATGCAAGGATAGTGTAAGGAGCCTCTGGGACTGCTTCAAGCGTACCAACATCAGAATTATAGGGGTGCCAGAAGATGAGAGAGACCAAGATATTGAAAACCTATTTGAAGAAATAATGACAGAAAACTTCCCCCTCCTGGTGAAAGAAATGGACTTACAGGTCCAAGAAGCACGGAGAACCCCAAACAAAAGGAATCCAAAGAGGACCACACCAAGACACATCATAATTAAAATGCCAAGAGCAAAAGATAAAGAGAGAATCTTAAAAACAGCAAGAGAAAGAAACTCAGTTACCTACAAGGGAATACCCATACGACTGTCAGCTGATTTCTCAACAGAAACTTTGCAGGCCAGAAGGGAGTGGCAAGAAATATTCAAAGTGATGAATACCAAGAACCTACAACCAAGATTACTTTATCCAGCAAAGCTATCATTCAGAATTGAAGGTCAGATAAAGAGCTTCACAGATAAGGAAAAGCTAAAGGAGTTCATCACCACCAAACCAGGATTATATGAAATGCTGAAAGGTATCCTTTAAGAAGAGGAAGAGGAAGAAAAAGGTAAAGATACAAATTATGAACAACAAATATGCATCTATCAACAAGTGAATCTAAGAATCAAGTGAATAAATAATCTGATGAACAGAATGAACTGGTGATTATAATAGAATCAGGGACATAGAAAGGGAATGGACTGGCTATTCTTGGGGGGGAAAGGGGTGTGGGAGATGCGGGAAGAGACTGGACAAAAATCGTGCACCTATGGATGAGGACAGTGGGTGGGGAGTAAGGGCGGAGGGTGGGGCGGGAACTGGGAGGAGGGGAGTTATGGGGGGGAAAAAAGAGGAACAAATGCAATAATCTGAACAATAAAGATTTAATTAAAAAAATAAAATAAATTAAAAGAGAAAAGAAAAAAAATATATATATTTTAAAAGATATTCTTAATTGTGTTAGTTGATAATAGTAATGTAGGCAAATGGCCTTTTAAAAAAGATGCATAATGAATATTTAGGGAGCAATAAATTATTAATAACTTTCCTTAAAATATTTCAGAAATAAAAAGCTGAAGATGTTAACAACAGGGAAATCAAGTTTCTAGCAATCACACCAGCATATTATACTACAACCATGTCATAACTATAGAAATCAGACTATTCTCTCTAAATTTCTGTTGTGTTTACAATTTCATAACAGGTAAAATATTTTTAATCTATTGTTTCAATCAATTTGATAAATTTATTCTAAGGAAGAGAACAACTGCCTTCAACTTATTTTGCCTAGAAATCCAGGCAAGGGACTCAAGCAATGGCGGCCTGTAGGTAAAGACAGGAAAGCACCTTAGTGGAAAGAGAGAATCACATGAACAGAGCCCCAACAAAATGGGCCCAATCACTCATAACATGAAAATAAGTATACATGGGAGCAGCTCAGACTTATTCTTCCAAAATACACTTTACATAGGAGACTGAAAGCATCATGTGAAGTAGCAGCCAGCAGAATACCCCATCTTCATGACCTCTAAGTAAAGAATAGCACAGGGGGACTGAGATAGAGCCATGAAAACCTGAAAAGCTCATCTTCACCCAAAGCATTGATGTCTTCCAACCAATCTTCCTGTCTACTCATCAACTGTAAATCATTCCCTTACTCATCTCATTCCTCCTTCCTGATCCTGCATAACCCACATAGGGAGCTACTTTTGTCTCTTGCCCACAGATGTTAAAATCCAAAGGAGCCCAGCACATGACAGTCTGTAAGAAACCCTGGCAGAAGAAAGGGAGAAAGGAAGAGAGCGGGGAGGGATGGGAGATAGAGTGTCCTAAGAAAGGCTTTAGGAAAACAAGTTGGCTGCTACACCAATTAGAAATAAATACTAATTTGACTGAAAATAATTTTTAAAGCCAAATTAAAGCAAAGTGAAGCACGTAGAGCAAGAACCCCGAGATTTTCATCAT